AGGATGGAAAACCAAGAATTAAGCCTTGATGCATACACAGAAAAGAATAAATGGTGCTGCTCCTACTACAAATATATCAGCACTGAGGATTGATGAAAACTGGGGGTGTCAGCCAGGTGGAAGTGACCAGAGTTTTCACTGGTTCAAATCTTCAGATCATAGAGCAGTAAAAATTAGTTTCTCAACCAAATCACTACACAGACCTTTAACACAACATTTTAAATGAAAATATGTGATTTAAAAATGAGGTGGCACCAAGAGGTTCTTTGGTCTTTTTGTTGTAGAAAAGAGGTCAAGAATCATCAGATAAAAGAGAAACAATGCAGAGGAAATGAAGTGCTGGTTTGATGTGCCAGTGTTATAATATTTGAGTATTAAAAACTGATAAAATGTCCCCATTTTCCTTTTCAGTGAAGGACTTGCTGTAGATGTCTGCCTAGCCCAGACCCAGCATGGCACCAGCTGTTCCAAGCAGCTTAGGACAACAATGGAAGGTAAAATTCAACATTCAGAGAAAACTGATCTGAAAATAGAGGGAAGACAGGAAAAAAACAGTGGAAAGAGCAATAGTTGCCAAGATAGGGGAAGCATAATGAACTGTTTTAATTGATTTCTCTAATTTTTATTTATGTAAATTAGGAAACAAATGTGAAACTCTTCCTTAGCTCGTTACTATCCTAAAGCCAAATGTATTTCACAGCTGAACTACAGCAGAATATTGCACTTCAGTAAAGCCTGCAGCAACCATGTAAAAGAGGGAAAACTTGCTGTTAATAACTACAAATTTTGACCATTTAGGAGAGAAGGAACAACAGAGCCTTGATCAGGAACATGAGCTGATCACATTTATATTACTGTAACTAAAAATATTTCTGCCCTGAGGAAATGTGCTGAGCCTTCAGTGATGAACTTAAAACAACCTCTAAACCTACATAAATACATGTTCTACAATGTTTGTTCTTCACATCTTAGTGAGCTCCTATTTGTTGATGTCTGTTCAGCAGAAAAATGCTTCTTCCAAATCCAACAGAAAGAAACAAGTATAGGTTACACTCAGAGTGGATCAGTCTATCAAAAGAATGATGAAGCCAAAATTTAACTTAATTGCTTGCTTAATTTAAAGCTGGCTGTCTCAAAAGAGGAACTTTCATGCTGTGGCAGATTGAAAAAGGTTTAAATTATTCTGTTTCTCACATTGCTCTTGCAGTATTTCCAGGTGCACATCAGAGGAAAGCTTTCAGTGCTACAGACAGCTTGCTGGCCTGCTTGACAACGTAAGGAAACAAAACAAAGCCAAAACTTCCTGGAATGATCCTCCCATCGTGTTTGCACTGCCACAGACTCGATCAACAGCAAACAGCAAAAGCAAAACAGCAGAATGAGAACTCCTGCTTCACAAGCACAATATTTAAAATACTTCATGCTTCTATAAATCAACAACAAACCACAAATATCAAACGGCAAAATGCTTTCTAATAACAGGAATTGCAGAGAATCCCAGAATCTGAGGCTGGCAAAGACCTCCCAGACCATCGAGTCCAACCTGTGACCAATCCCCACCTTGTCACCAGCCCAGAAAACTGAGTCCACACCCAGTTATTCCTTGGACACCTCCAGGGATGGAGACTCCACATCTCCCTGGGCAGCCCCTCCCAATGCCTGGCCACCCTTCCTGTGAATCCTATCCCTAGGAGAACATTAATCCAGCTGAAGTCTTTCATTTTCAAAGCCACACATGGCCAAAAAGACAGACATTTTCCACTGCTACTTCACGATCCCCAACCCCCTTCTCTAAAAAACTTCTTTCCAATCATGCAGCAGAATTCTGCCTCCTCTCCATGAACTAACACATGGCTGGCTGCAAACCTCAGCAGTCTTCCTGAGCTTCTGTTTGCTGGAATATTCAGCAGCCACATTAAAATGCACCCATTAAGAAAAACAAACTACTTAGCATGTGGACTGTCCCTTGCTGAGCATTTGTGTGGCAATAATGCAATTGCACCTGACCCTCTGCCACATTCAAGGCATTAAAACCACACCAAAATTTAATTTGCTGTCTTTTGCAAATTCATCAGAATCCCATAAATAATGAGGTGGAAAAAAAATTATCTTGCAAAATGTTTTAGGAAAATAAATTGAAATCATTCTCTTCAATTCTAAAGAGCTCATTTAAATGTCTTTATGTAATGCAGAAGCTGAACACTACAGCAGAAACAGGCATCTAAGCAAGTCCAATGAAAAAAGGTATTAGTGGTTCAAAATCAGATCATTTCACTATAGCAGTTTAAATTCCAGTAAAATATATATTAAAATATTAAATTAAAATATTTTGTTTGAGGGCATCTCAAAACTAAAACTAGAACTGTATTTTCTGTGACACTCTTTCAATGGAAGTTTTAAAAATATATAAAAAACATACTATATTTGCTGCAATTCTTAAAACTACATAACAATTAAGATCTTTTGCTTAATTAAAGAACTCTAATGAAAATATTGATAGAATTGCATTTTTTCATAGTAGAAACATCATTTGAGTGTGGTGTGTGACTGTTGTGGGCCTTCCTCTTCCCCTTGGGATCAAAGGCAAGAAGAATTTCAAACAACTTTGGAAACAACAAAACCCCAGCTCCGAATTCTGTCTGAGATCAAGTTTGTGTCTAGTGGGAGATTTTACAACAATGTTGAAAACAGAGTAGAAGAGGCTTTTTATAATGGAAACACTGAAGGACCAAGAACTCCAGTCAAGCTAAGAGCTGTCACTGCAGTGTTCTTTCATGTCGTACTGAAAATTCCACTTTATTCTCCATTTGTCATTCTTCTCTGTAAAGACAGTCACTTCATTACAGAGATTAGGGTTTTCTTCTGCAGCCTACCTTTTAGTTTCAGACTTTTGGTTTTAATTCCTCATGTTCTCAGTAATTTGATCACTAATTTGGCTTTCCAGCTTTAGCTGGTGACATTTTAGACAGAAGCTTCAGAAAGCTGAACAGAAAAAACACTGATTCAGTGGTTTAACTTTATCATGGAAGTTTTATTTTTCAAGATTATTATCCCAAGAGTATGAGCTCCTTGATTTTGAACACAAGTGTAATGAATGATGGTTAAAAAACCCCATTACTTACACTTATTAGTGCACAAACAACAGCTTGCTACAAACCATGTAAAATCAGAGTATTTCTCAGAGATTTTGCCCAAGAACACAGACAAAACCACTGGATACAGCAGTCTCCAAAGAGAAAGTGTAGGTTCTTGCTCTGATACAGACAAAAATCAAGTTTGAACATATTTGGATTCCTAAAAAGTGTCACTTCTAAGGCATTTAAAAACAAACAGAGCTGCTCTAGTGCTTTTAGTCTTGGTTGTGTGCATGAATGTTATCTGCAGGGGAAACAAGACTGAATCAGAACTTCAGCTGGCTCTGTACACATCAGTCCTCAGCAGCAGAGCTGCTCCTGGCTCAGCAGAATTACGATGGCAGGAGGAATTCCAGGCAGAGGAAAGGAAAATGAAGAGGAAAAGAAATCCAAACCCCTGGAGATGAGCTGCCAGGCCGGGGTGGATCTGTGCTGGGGCAGGGCATCCTGCCCAGCCTGAGCCCCCAGCTGGGACACAGCAGAAAGTGAGCACTGTGCAAGCTGCAAAAGCTGGATAACTGCTCCATCTAAATGCAGCCCCAATTATTTTCTGTACACCAACAGAAATCTGTAATGAACCTCTAAATAATTCCTGAACTAGGAACCACTGAGCTGTCCTGAATGAGACTGGGGAAATGCCATTCCCTTACTACCTAAGCACTGCACACTCCTCTAGAGCACTGCTTTGGATGTGACGGGTGGCAAAACCCTGGAGGATACCTACAAAATTTAATGTTAGTGTTTTGGGGCACAGAGGAAAAATAATGGATGTCTGCTTACCCCCATCAGGAAACGCTGTGTGTGTCTGCAAGGCTCAACTTGCAGAAAGAAAACTTATTTATTGCTAATCTTTAAAAGGCATCAGTCTTTGACATCCACTTTCTCAGAGGTTTAATTTCAAAAAGCATCAGCTCACATCAACTTTCACAAAAATACCACAGAATCCATAATTTCCCTAACTGCTATGTAAAAGCAATGTTCGGGAGAGTCAAATGTGCTCTAAGGCAAGAGCAAATACCCATCAGAAATGCCATGAAAGAAAGAAGCAAAAGGCCAGCTAATGAGTACACAACATGCAGCTGCAGCAGAAGTGACAGGGAGAAGGTGGGGAAGTGAGAAGGACAACAAAAAGGCTCATCCTAATTAAGCAAACATATGACAAAGGAAAAAACCTGCACTAGCTGGGTGTGGTTATTTCATGATTAAATGCTAAATAATGATAAGTATTTGGCAGAAATACAGGCTGTGTGAGAATACAGCATTTACAGTTATACTACAGCAGCTTTCAGTTTCTCAAGGTTAGCAGGTTTATTAAGTCAGTGATTTTATACAGGTGGATTTTTCTTTTTTGTAATTCAATATTACATAAGACAGAATTGTCTTGTCCTAATACAGAGATAAAGCCAAAGGTCCTCCTGAACATGCATTGTATGAAAATGAAAACCAGGGACTTTGGGTTATGAAAAGAAGCCATATGACTAAAAAGTGAATCCATTTTCCAAAACGCCCACACAGACAAGAGCTTCTGATGAGAAAAATGATCTCTGCAAAGCTAAATTGCACAGATTATTTCCATGAAAAGTTAGACTCTTGCAGATTACACGATATTTACTGTGCTAGCATTAAAAAAAAACCACCAACATTTTATATTATTACAGTATGAATAATTACTTGATTGTTCAATGTAAATTATATAAAAATCAGTAATTACTTAATTGAATAATTGCCTTCTTTTAGAATTCACATAGGCCATGATGTTTGCTTAGTTTTTCCAGGATTGTTTCTCTCTTGCTGCTGGCAAGTCTTGGGTCCCTTTAAAATGAGGTGCCACCACCTGTGTGTGCCAGCAAAGCAGCTGTGGCTTACCTTGGCACTGGAATCCTTGCTTCCCAAATCCCCTGCATAAAGAAGGAAAAAAACTGCCTTAGTATGTTTGGTTTTAATTTCTACTCAATGATCTCTAAAAACATAAAAATAGCTTCATATTAAATTACTTCAGGTTTTGCTACGACAGCAACAGATTCTGAAATACACAACACAGACCAGCCCACCCATTTCAAAGCAGAGAACAATAGCTGTCACCAGCTATGTAATTTCAGCTTCTGGCAACAATTTTTTTATTATTATTATTTTACAAGCTATTTTGGATCTACAATTATCATCATCTGTGATTGCTGCATAATATTTCAACTCGTTTAATGCCACATGTATATTTAACAGCCACGTAAAATATTCCAAGTTCCAGCAAAGGCACGTAAAACAAACCAGACTTGGGGTTTCATGCAGATTTTGGGATTACAAGCTGCTGTTGTGAGGCTCAGCTAGAGTCCAGCTGTTTGCTGTATGGAAAGCAAGCAGGTGAAAAGTTTTACTTGTTTTGACATAAATGAGAAGACAGGCCCCTGGTTTTCATAGTGATTATTCTCCAGCTTCCTTGCTCCATTTCCATAACGAAATCCAAACGTGTGTGCAGCACTCCTGCAATGAATACAATGACAGTGGTACCCAGAGTTCCAACACACTTTGTACCTCTGGCAAACTCCACTGCTGCGGATTTATTTGTTTATCTTTAAGCAGCTAACATTCTCTTCCCACAAAAATAACTGGTTTGAGTCTCCTGCCTCTAAACATTTCTCTGCCTTTTTCTTTGAAGCCTGTTTTTCATCTGGAGTGCTGGAGCTGCTCACACAAACAGACAAAAGCCATGAGCTGGAGAAGCTGTGTGCAATTAACAACACGCTGCTTAATTATCAACTTTATGGAAATGGTTTCTTAAAAAAATGTATCAACAATTTCTCCACTTTTTATTTATTTATTTATGGAAGAGAAAAATCCTTCAGTGCACTGTTCCTTCAGGATGAAGCTGAAATGACACAGCTTAGAGCATTTCTCTGCACAAGTTGCTACTTCTTGTTATTACAAGCAAACCTGAACTAGGAAAACCAGGAGAAAAATCAAATTATTTGTTTACTTGGCAGCACACGTGCCTATATTGTCATTCTGATGCTTTTACCACTCATCTTCATAAAACTCAAAAGCTGGAAGCATGGAAATGCAATCACAAGAAAGCCGGTGGCGGGACTAAGAACGTGAAACAGACTTGAGATAATTTTTAATCCTTTGAAATAGACTTATTTGCAAATATTCCTGCTTTATCTGTTCCAGAAGCACGGCTGTTGCTCAGTGCCTGAGCAGAATCCCTGCAGAGCTGCAGCCTATTCCACTCCTAGAGCAGTTACAATGTAATTTTTAAGTAAAAAGTCTTTTAAAAAAATATCAACACTCCAGAACCAAAGCGGAGAGGTGAAAGTTGCTGAAGAGAAAAAGGAGGCACTAAAATATTTTGGTAAATATTACCTGATGAAACATAATCTAAGGAAAATAATCTATTTGTATACTTCATTGAAAGGTTGTGTTTACTGTTCTCTATACCCTCAAACACTGTTAATTGACACAAGTCATTTTGGAAACACTCAATGGTGCGCGATGGAGAGCGGCCCATCTCCAAACCAGAACACCAAACACGTTTTGGAGGTGTCAGATGCTCTTCCAAGGAATGTGAAGAGCTTCCCCGGGCTCAGCAAGCACGACAAGACAAGAGCACAGTCGCTCTTGCCACCTGTCAGCCACAGGATACCCTTTCGGCTCCAAACCCACTGTCAGCCGTGACAGAGCTCTGCTTTGTTTTGTAATTGTGCTGCTGCTGTGCGCGAACACCGCTCGCAATAACCCTGCAGCGGTTTTTCACACCTCCCAACTCATTCTGGTTTACATTAACTTTGAAGCAGTTTCTGAAGGTCTCTCACTTTTACCACACCCAACTTCACTTTCTAATTTTTTTTTTCCCCAAAAAAAAATTTAAACGAAAGAAAAACTCAGAAATTTGACTTGTTTCTTGTGCAGTCTACCATGTCAGCTTTCCTTCCTTACCCTGTGAATATATTTCAATCATTTCTGGCACAAGCACAGGCTTTGCTTCAGCATGCAAGCAGAGGAAAACTGACAGAGGAAGGAAAAGGTCCGTGTCCAGACACATAAACACACATAAAAAGAACAAGAAGCGTGCCACGGACACAGAGCCAGCCGCGTGCAGACCCTTTCACAACTTCGGCCAAAACAAATCACAGCTCTCCTTTTGGGCACCCAGAGCCGCAGTGCAAACTTGAGCAGCGGAGCAGGGCTGGAGCGGGGCGAAGGAGGGGAATCCCGAGCTGTCGGTGCCGCCCGGTCCCCGCAGGTCCGGGAGCGCCGAGGCTCCCGCAGCTCCCGCCGAGCCCGGGCCGCCGCTCCGAGCCCGGGCCCCGGCCCGGCCTGCGCGGAGCTGCCGCCCTGCCCGGGCACGGCACGAACCCACGGTGTACTTTTCCCTACCAGTTTAGTAATGAGGGTGTTGGTAGGGAGTTTTCCTGCCCTCTCGCGCAGGAACCCTTCTCCCACAGAAACCACCCCTCCCTTTCCTCGGCGTGGAGCGGAGCAGCGGTGTCACGGTGCCTGCCCGGCCTCGCTGCCCGCCCTGGGCAGCAGGAGGGAGCAGGGCAGGCACCGACCAGGAGTTATGGCTGGGGGACCCGAGTTCTGCCGCCCAGCAACGCCCCGGTCTGACACGGGCACCCTCCGTCCCAGCGCGGCTGTGCCCGGCTGAGCCCCCCAGACCCCGGCGACAAGGGGTGAGAAACACAGCTCTGGACCATGTGGGGAGCGATGGTCCCGGCGCGGGGCTGCAAACCCTGCGGGTCTCTGCGACCCCCCGAGCGCCGGCAAGTTTGGGGGCTCCCCCCGCCCCGAGAGCGGGATGCGCCCAGCCCCGGGGCCCCCGAGCAGCGGCAGCCGCACACAGCCCGCCGGGAGGGGGATGCGACAGCGCCGGGGCAGCGAGGTGACACGGGGGGTCACCCCCAGCGGGGTCACCTGCCCGGCCCCGGCGAGAGCGGCGGCACCGCGACCCGGCTGCCCGAGGACGCGGCGGGAGGGCGGGGAAGGGAAGGCAGGGCAGGGAGGGCGGCTCACCGGAGCCGGGGCTGCCCGAGGCGGGGAATCCCCCGCGGCGGAGCGGGCCCGGGCGGCGGCGGGCGCGGGGGGGACGCGCGCCCCGGGCTCTCACCAGATGAAGTCGGTGCAGTGGCTGCAGAAGGTGGGCTGCTTGAAGAAGCGCGCGATGAATTTGTGCTCCTTCACCTCGTGCACGTTCTTCTGCCTCAGGGCGCCCTTGCGAGCGAAGCGCCGCGCCGCCTCCGGGTCGGCGCCGGGCTCGGAGCCCGGGAACACGTCGGCCATAGCGCCTCCTCCCCACCCCCCGCCGCTCCGGGAGTCGCCGCCCCGACGTCCGCCCCGTCCGGCGGCCGCCGAGCCTCTGGCAACGGCGGCGCTGGGCGCTGCCTCCCGCTCCCAGCCTGACGTCGGAGCGGAGGAGGATCCCGAGCCCTCTCGCCGGCTGCTCCGCCCGCGGCTGAGCGAGCGAGCCCCCGGCCGGGGCGGGGCGGGCGCGGGGCCGCCCCCGCCGGGGAGCGCCGGGGGAGAACGGGGGGGCGGCCGCACCTGCTGGCCCTCGTCAGCTCCCGCAGCGCGCCCCGGGGCTCTCTCACGCACACCGGGGCTCTCACGCACACCCCGGGGGCTCTCTCTTACACTCACACACCCGGGGTGCTCTCACACACACCGGGGCTCTCTCTCACACACCGGTTCTCCCCGCGCACCAGCTGCCCCCAAAACGCACCGGTTCCACAGACACACACCGGTTTCTCCCCTCTCTTTCTCTCTCTCTCTCTCACATTCACCTACACAGGCTTCCCTCACACACAGGCACACACAAAGCTCCACTAACTCACACGCGCACGCTCAGAGGTTCCCTTCAAACACGCACGCAGAATCTCCCCTCTCACTTTCCCTCTCTCCCCCACACAGAGATTCACTCACACACAGAGATTCGCTCCCGTGTCACGCACAGACAGAAGATCCCCTCGCACACACACAGGAGGTCTCCTCTCACTCTCTCTCACACAGAAGGTCCCCTCTCACTCTCTCTCTCTCTCACAAGGAGGTCCCCTCTCACTCTCTCACACATACAGAGGTTCACAGACCGGCTCCTCTCACGCCCAGCTCCCTCCATGCCCACACAGACACAGCAGCCCGTTCTCTCTCCCCCTCACGCCCTCACACAGCCCCAGGCAGGTCACACACACACAGTTCGCCCGGTGTCAGCCATGGAAACCCACACCTGCCCTCCCTGCAGGCAGCAGCAGGACCGTGAGCTCCATCCCTGCTTCCACCGCCGCCTCCCTTCGCCCGGCCCGGCACAGCCGGCAGCAGGCACGGCCACCAGCGTGTCACAAAGCGCGGGGAGCCTGCCCCGCGCTGCTCCCGGCCGCCTTCGCCACGCGGGCTTCCTGCACTCCCCGAGAAGCGTTATTCCTGCCCCACAACAAACAAAGTGCAGCCCTGTGCTCTGCCCCACACACCTTTCCCCTTCCTGCCGCTCTCAGACGCAGCCACAGTGCGAGCGCTGAACCTCCGATCTCACAGCACCACAGGATGTCCTGCCATGCCATGGATCTTTATGCATCAGTGTAAATATCCCGCAGTATTTCTTACTTCAGCACAAAATCCTCAACAAAAAGTGTAGGAAACATTCGCCGAGTCTCTTTCTCTCATTAGGGCATTCAGCAGACACACAACAGATTTTACCTTGGTTTTATGTCATCAGGTATTCCATGAAATAATAGACCTGTCTGTCTTTGCTTACTCACATTACACACAAAACAATCCCAACTCCCTGGATACAGAAACATCTGCCCATGGCATCCTCTCACATTAATACACTCAGAAAAATCATGACTATGCTAACGTAAAACCACAATATATACAAAAAGTAAAGAAACCATTAATCATGTTGTTTTTAATAAATGTTATACCCATGGTTACAAGTTTACACATATGGGAAATAAATGCATGTGAAAAGTTCTACCCCAGTACATCTACACACTCATCTGTCTGTGTAAACATGTGTAAGATATTTTATTTCACAAGAATGAAAGCCAGCTAATTAACTCAAATTAAGCGCTGATGGGAAAAGTGTGCATGGACACTCTGCACAGAACAGAAATAACTTGCTGCATACTATCTTAAATTAAAAGCCTCAGTTTCTGGGTGCATCTTGGCAGAACTGGAATGTCCATGGCATTTCACCAAATAACCAATGACAGGGATGGCCCTGCTTTTCTCTAAACTTAGAGAATCACACCAGATGCCCTAGAAACTGTTGCCATATGCCCTTGCTTCATGGATTTTATTTTGTGAGCAACTACTTCCAAATTTGATCTTAAATCCAATGAAATATAAAGATTTTTAATTTGGTCTCCACCTATTCTGCACATGTTGCAAATCTCTTCTTCCTCTTCAGAGGGAATAGATTTTTCTTGCCTTAATCAATTTATGCCAAAGCATGAGGAGCACCAAGAAACATTTTGTACTCTTGTTAAGGGTTCTATCAAGAAGCATGAAACATGTTTATTTCCATTCCTTTTGTGCTGTATCACAAACACAGCCACCAAAATTGGGGGACCTGAAAGGGACACAACTTGGATTACATTGGGTTTGAGGCAATCTGCGTATTTTGTTGTTCCTTAAAATCTCACAGACCTGCTGAATCATTTTGGATCCCAGTTTCTTTCCTGCCACTGACTCTGGACCAGATTAATTCACTGAAACATTGGCGAGTGTGCCAGGCTCGTGTCAGCCAGGGAAGAGCCAAATGGCACCAGTCACAGCGCTACAGGATCACAGCAGGATTGCTCTCCTGCCTCTCTGTAAAGCACCTATTTCACCTCAAACCTAGCAATTGTTTGTACATCGTGACTAGACACACTAGGCAAAGAAAAGCTCCATCATGTGTGCCCAGATAACCGGGTAATCCCTTCAAATACATCCTTGCCCTACTGTATTTAACACACAACTCCTTTTACTGCTGCAGTTTGGACACACAGCACTTACCCAGTGCTTTTATTATATCCACCTTCAATATCAGGCTCTGGCACCATGGCCAGGCCACTCTTGCAGTGATGCCATAGGGCATGGTGTGTTCCACTCCCAGACACCTTTGGGACGTGCTGTGGTGACACCAGCTCCTCTTGCTGGGAGGTTTTTCATTGCCTGGACACTCGTTTTTCCTGCTCTGGTCTCAGGTCCTGTGGGTGACACAGGAACTCATCCCTCCTTTGTAAATAACTGGAGGAAAGATGTCTGCCACCTCTTCCTGAGTGAGCACATTCCCCCAGCAGCTCATGGCTTGCTCTTCTGCCCAGGGGAGTGTTTGCAATTTGCTTCTGGTTCAGGCCATCTGGACGAGGAGTCAGCATTTTCACTGTTTGTGTTCAGGCATATACATGGCCATTTAATCAGAGCACCAGCTTCTCCAACCTCCTGGCCAGCACCTTCAGAACTCCTGACTCCAAAGTGCCATTTATGGGGTCTCCTAATAGCAAATTTACTCCTGTATGGCTATTTGGATAATATCCTAGAGACTGTCCCTGATAGAAGTTTCCACTGGATGATTTATGAGGTTTTTTGTCTCTAAAAAATTTGATTATTGCTGTAACAAGCACAACTTCTGAAGTTCTTTCTATATTTCCATCAATACCACCCTAGGTCTGTAAGTGCATCTGGGTTCATTTTGAAAGAGGTTTCTCCTGAAATGTCTTTGCTTTCACTCATCTGCTGGAACAGCAATCCACCGTCTGCATCTCTTTTTAATCAAAAAGCAATAAAAAAGGAAACATGTATCAGGCTCTGCTCTGCCTCAGACCCATTCAAAGGGAGCCAAGGAGAACACCTCCATCAACTGTTTTGGCAACTGTCACTGTTTTATTATTTCCTGCTTCTGAGAAATAGCCAACAGGAATCACTTCCTGCTGGGGGCCTATAAGGAAGTTCAAAAGCCAATTCCTCCTCACATTTCAAAGCGAATCACAACTGCTTCCCTCTCTAGAGAGTCAGGGGGACAAGTGTCTATTCTCCAAAGCCCTTTTAGGAAGGATGGTCTGAACTTTGCAACACTGCTGCCTACAAATTATTTGCTTCACCCAATCTCATCTTCCACAGGAATTTCCACAGGGCCAGCTCATGAGACATCTCCACCAGCAACTGTTGTGGGATAATTACTTGCCATAATTAGGTCAAAACCAGTTACCAGTTTCCATTAATTCACAGACTTCATGCTATGAACTAAGGAACCAGGTTTTCCTAATTTATTTTTTCCATGCAACATAAACTTTGTTTCTCTCTTTGTCTAAAATGACCCATCAAGTTTAATGTTGAAGCTCCCATTCTTAAGTTTGTCATGTTTTGACCAGTCCTGGTTTTCTAGAGCCTACTACAAATTCATTCACAAAAAAACCCAAAAAACCCAAAAAACCAAAAACAAAACAAAAAAAAAAAACCCCAAACCCAAACAAAAAAACCAACCAACCAACCAAACAAACAAAACCAAAAAACAAAACAAAACAAAACAAAACAAAAAAACAACCAAAAAAAAAAAACAAGAAAAAAAACCTGCCTGTTTATTGTTCTTACCCCTGCTTTGGCAACAATATACCTAAAATGTTTCCAAAAAATAGAAAAAGGTAGGCTGTGGTAACATAAACAGCTACATTTCTGTAAGAAACTGTCTGTCTTTTATCCCAGTGGGGATGAGATGGAAACAATTTTCTCTCAGCATGTGCTTCTGCATCTTTCTTTGTCTTTTAGCATCTGTGTTTAGAATCCCCACAACTTTACCCCTGTCTCTGCAGTTACACGGGTCCTCCTCTCTGCCCCTTTCCCCTCAAAGTTCCTCAGAGTGCAGGTTGGGAAGCCCTGGGTCATGAGGCAGGTTTTATTATTAAATTATTCCATGTGACAGACAGCCTGTTTACACAGGCCGGTACTGCATTAAAACACAGTCAAAAAGAACACTAAGTACTGAGGGAAAAAAGTCCTCTGAGAGCTGAAATGTCACAGAAAGAGTATTTCTGAAAAAATTCTGGGGAAAAGAAAAATGGTATCTTATAATAATTAATAATTTCCCAGGGATGAAACTGCAGTCCATCGATATGTCCTAATCAGGAAAATCCTCCTTCCCACTGTGACAGATAAATGATGCCATTATTTCAACTTGAGTTTCCTTGAAAGCCTTGCAAAACCCATTCCTCATGCAAATAGCTTATGCATTATCCTCATAGCAGCTCTCCATAGAATTGGAAATAAATAGCTGATCATATACAGAACATTGAGTGTAAAATAGCTTTTTTATATCAGACTTATCAGAATACTGAGTGACAACCCATTGCTTTCTTTTCTCATGTCTCAGGAGTATGAGGAGCATGGTAAAATATCTCCTGGTTATAGAGCTTGATGCTGTTACACACTGAAGAGTGATGGGGG